ATAGTCGCTGTGTCGCTCAGTCTCACCCCAGGAGTTCAACTACTCCCAATGTTTTGTAACGTCAAAAAGCTACTAACTTTTCTCATGATCTGGTAAGCTTTTGTTAGTATAATAGTATAGTTACTACAAAGAGAGATAAATAAAATAATAAATTCAGGTATACCGATGTATTGAGAAATGCAATAAATTACGTACCGATATTGGATTATAAAATATTGTGTATCCACACTATTTTATTTTTAATAGTACATTTATTATTTATTAGATTGGTATTTAAAAAAAAATCCTTTATATAAATTTTTCCTTGTGATTAGCAAGAAGATCCTCTAAAAGATTCTTTAATTCAACAATTCTTGTAGATGAATTATTGCAAAATAAATAAGCTTAGGTTAGGTTAGGTTATGTTTAATTAGGTTGGTTAGGTTGTAATAGTTAGATGAACTATTCTAAGAATAAAAAACCAGAATACAAGAAAGTAAGGCAAGATAAACTCGATAGTAACTGAGTCCTAGAAATGTGATGACTACATCAGAATACATTACCATCTAAAGTTGTCCCATTATAATAGTGCTTGGACGTCATTTTTGTTAAACTAAAAATGCATTTCACATTATAACATCTTATGATATGAGTTTTTATATGATTTGCATATTTTAAGTGGTTTTAAGGAAGTTCAGGGACTAGATAGGGAATAAGTTATTATAGTAGGTCTCATGGTAGGACCATGGCCAAAAGTCAAATGATTTTTTTCCGTTTTGATGTCTCACAGTGGAAATAAACAATCCAAATTTACATAATGTGTGCGTGTGTCCTTTAGTACTATAAATAAAGTGAATATTATTCGACTTAGATTAAATTTGGCATGAAAGTGTAAACCAAGTGCCAGCATGATCTGGCGATAGGAAAAAGGTTTTATAAAGAGTTAATGAACTACACATTTTCGCCTATGTGTAAGCTGTTGAGCTTAAAAAAATAATTTGAATACTGAATCATTCTTGTCCGCTTATTGGTTGTAGAGGAAAATCAAACCCCCCCCCCAATAACAATTCATTTCAAATTATTTTATAATGAGCCATTGACATTAATTCCATATAACGATGAGGATATCAGTGTGACAAATTAAAATACTGTATCGATTGAGGTCTAAATAAGGCTACTTTTTTTTATAAACTACTATAATTGTTTTTACTACATTAAAATATTGACGAATTTAATACGTACATCTAATAAATATAATTACACTATATTTCAGGTAAATAATGTAACGATACATTAAAATGAATTTTATTATTTTGGAAAATTCTAGAATTTGAAAGCTAGACCACTAGGCATAAATATGTATATAAACATTTTAGAACCTTGTACATTTATTACTTTGCACTCTAAGACAAATTCATACTTAGATCCAATATATGTACATTTTATTTTCACTTGATTAACCCTTTAAATCCAAACCGAAGTAGAAAAGTTTAGAGAGCTTAATGCTTCAGAACAGTTTCATTAAACGGGAATGCCTACAATCAACCCATTAAATCTCTTATTTAAAGCAGAAATGTCTAATATCAGATAACCTTTAGAACTTGAACTCTCAGCCCTTTTTAAAGCAAAGTGTTTTTTTTTTCATTTAATGAACACCTAGTGAGTAAGCCTTGTGTTGTATACATTTCGTAATAAAAATGACAACAGAACTACTATTAGAGCCAAGACGGTAGATTTGGAGATATAAATTACTGGGAAATCCATATGTATAAATATTTACAGCATGCAGTTGCTGAAAATAATTTATATTCTATTTTGCATCACAATATTAGTAGTTATAGTTAGTATTTATATTTAATACATTCAGGTTCTTACTCAGTTATAGTTGAGAATGATATTTTACTGTTTAAGGCCATGATTTTGTAGCGATTATTTCAGTTAGCTTGGAGACAAATTTACATTATTAACTTACCAACAATTATTAACAACAATTATTAACAATTATTATTAGACAATGGGCCATACCAAAAACAATAAAAATTAAAAGTATGTGTTTGAAGAAAAACACAGGACGCAAATAGCTAACACACAGATTTATCTTTGGGGTAACAAATATATACATTTTACCTAACTGAAATAGGTTTTCTTGAAGGGTAAAGTTAAAGAAAAATCACTTCATTCCACTTTACGTTATGGGAATGGAGAGCGTCTTTCCCGTAAATGGTTTCGATCTATTGGCTTAGAGAGGTAAATTGGACCCACCACTTCGTACTAATATCTAAAATTTGTTAAACATAATTTAGCAATACATTTTGAGCTTTGAAATGCCTTGCAGCCCTTTGTTTTTGTCTAAGATTGTAAGTTGTTTTACCAATTTAAACCTGCATCGATATAATTTCTATAAAATAATTTTGCTGAGAAAAACTGTTCATGCACGAAAATATTATTTGAAAACAAGCATTTAACACTTTTAGATTTACGTGGGAAAGATAAACTAAACACATGTCTTATATAAAATGATTGCAAGATTCGGTGAGTCGGTGGCCACAGACTTTGGGCCCAAGGCAGCGATGTCATGGGTTCGGATCTTTAATCAGTACAGATCACCCTTGTGTTGTAATGGCTCACCCCTTGCTTTGCTGGATAAATTCCACGCACAGGCGTCTGTGATCCATGTGGTTGGCAAATGCAAGGTACAAAAGGTCACCAACATCCTAAACAAATAGCTTTTACCGCAATTTAATCGTGCAATGGACATTTCATTTAATGTTAGTTAATGTATGATGGTATAATTGTATGCTTAGACCTACTGTTTACTTAAACATAACGTCACAGTAGTTTTAATACTTTAAACGAATGAATGGAAATAATTTTGGTAAACAAACTCTAAAACTCAAATAAACTAAGTTTTTAATATTTTAATCGAAAATGTACTAACTTATAATTCCAGTTGTGAATGTCAGAAGATAAATAAATGAGGTAAAACTCTGTGAAAAGTAATTTACCCCTGGCTGAAGCAGAAGTTACAATAATATTTTATCTCTTAAACGGTTTATCTTAATTAGTATTCAAACTTAATAAGGATTGTTGACGCCATTTGGGATTCAGATTTTTACTCTCTTTCGTCATGGTCCTGTCTGATAATCCTCAAACATAACAATAAGAAAATGAATATTATAAAATCTTCTATTGTTTGGCGTGTTGGTGTTTGTATTTTAATACATTTTGTTTATGCTTTTTTATATATTTCTTGTGGTCACCTGTTTATGTGCGTGTGTCCTTTAGGACGATAACTCGAAGAATATTGATCCGCTTTTGATGAAATTTGGTAAACGTGTAAACCTACATTTATTCGGGAGAGTTCGTGAACCAGCATTATACGACTATGGGAACGGGGGTTTATGGGGGGGGGGGTTTATTGGGTAAAATTTTGTTTTTCCAACATTTGATCCTAAAACCATAAATTTTTTCCAATTTCTTTTCAAACCATTTTTTAGAGCTTAAAAAAACAATTTGGTATATTGAAGCATTATTATGCACCTATAATAGTTACAGAAAATTTGTTTAAAAGGATTTAAAATTCCCATGTTATTCTTATGGAGAAAAAGGAAATTGTTTTATATTGCTTGTTTATGAACATATTTTGATCAAACTTGGAAAATGTATTAATTTCATACTAAACTATTAACATTCCACAAGAAACACGTTTTTACCCTCCCTGTTGCAGCAAACCTAAGTACACGTTAAACCATTGCTATTTGAATGGGGGAATAAATGTGATATTTTTAAAGAGATATTTTAGAGTTAATCCAATCAGGCAAATGGAAATTCGCTTAGTCTGCAGGTTTGCTGTGGCGGGTGTATTTATAAATCCTATGGTTTTTTATTATTAAGCTTTGAAAAATTAAAATGGCTGCCATTTTGAAATTATACAGAATATAAACTTGACACTTTGCAAGACAATAGTTCCTATTAGTCATCATGCACGTACCAAGTTTGAAGTTGGCACCTCAAGTGGTTCCAATGTTATGGGAAGTTATGTAAAAAATACATAAAACTGACGGGTGGAAAACGAAGCGAGATAGGGTATATGTTTATGTGATATTTTTTGTTTGTTTTGACCTTGGGAACATGCCCACGGAGTTTCGGGAGAGAGTTTCGAAACACCCTCTACATATATATTTCCCCATTCCCGTTTCAAAAACTTTAATTATATTAGACTTATTTTGTTGTAGCCTGTACTTATTGAGTAGTTAGGATGTTTGAGTCACCTTATGCCTTTATGTCACGTTATTTTAACGTTTCTTCGTAAGTTAACTTCTTGTCGCTAACATTACAGTCTATTGCATACACACATCACACAGCATAGTATGTATAAACATATGACTCTCTAAGTCTACTGATAGGTAGTGTCAACAATGAACGATAACGGATAGAAGACCAGTAGTATCGATACGAAAATTAACAAGATAAAAAACAGCTGATTTAGCAATAGTAACAACCAAGCAGACTCAGCTAAGGTGCATATCCATTGGCTATACAGACAAATCAACAGAACAAAACTACGCGTAAAAAAACACGCTGTTGTGTTGTTTGGTTGGAATACTGATGTGTGACAAAGTAAAAAGTGTGCGGCAAAGTAAGTGAATGCAGCAATTAGCAGTTTTCTGTACTATAATCAGTGCAAGGAAGCCCACTTTGTCAGTAGACAAAGGGATTGAGAGAGAAGCAGTAAAACTTTTGTGATTCGACCTTCAACTCAGCTGTTCAGGCCAATTTAATTGTTGAGTGGTGCAATTAGTGTTTGATACAATGTTTCGTTGCATCACTATCAGTGGCAGTGAGAGATTTGACTGTAAGAAAATAACTATTGTAAATACAGTATTGACTATGATGTTAGTAATGTCACACAAATTGGGGAAATGCATAGTGTGACACAAACGTTTTACATAGGCTACTTAAAAACTATACAATAAAATAGCAAAGACAATTCTGTGAATGGGTATAAAACTATACAGTACTCATGTGATAAAATCATGTTTATTAACGAGATGGTTTCAAATCGTCATCCATTCCCGAATGAAAGCTGTATCTGAAAAAAACAATCACATTAAATTAGTCTGTTCATAAAGCTTTAAATTGGGGCTTTTTATTATATCCTTATGGTACAAAAAGGATAAGGGATTTTAGTACGGAGATTGTTTATTTTAAATTAACAATTTGTAAATATGAAGGCGTAAATAACGTTAATACTGTTATCTAAAATGTTGACCATAGGAAGGTCGGTATTTTATGCCAAGTGCGAATAGAGATGAGTGTAGGATGAGTGGCGCGATCTTGTAGTTTTGTAACTGACTAAGGCCGACATGTTCCTTAGAAAGGACTATTATTATATTTAGCTAGGCCTTTGCTTATTCAAAAATGTTTGGTAAAATTAATTAAATTTAGTTTAAACAATGCTCTTTGTTATTCTTGTATAATTGTTATGTATATTTTGAAAACAAATTGCTACAGTTTTGTACGAGGTAACAATGAAACATTCATATAAAGTATTAATTTCTTTTACATACGCCCGTTTTTTAAAGTAGCTGTATCAGTTCAGTTCTTAGAATTGAAAAGTTTCACATAACAGCATTGTTTACTTTCATAACAGCATAGTTTTACTCTTAACAACACGGGTAACGGACCAATGAGGTTCAAGGTTTGAGAGAGAAGCAGTACAATTTTTGTGATTCGACCTTCAACTCAGCTGTTCAGGCCAATTTAATTGTTGAGTGGTGCAATTAGTGTTTGATACAATGTTTCGTTGCATCACTATCAGCGGCAGTGAGAGGTTATATACGAAAACATAACCTCTCTTAGAAGTTATGAGTAGTGATTTTTAGTAATTAAAACACTGTCTTAGGAAAAGTAGTGGACGCAACTCACATAAATAGTGTTAACAACACTCGTTGAAGTGTTGAAGGCACTCGCCAAGGCTCGTACTTTAAATTTTGTACTCGTGTCGTTAACACTATCTTTACGCAATCGCGTAAACTACTGTGGAAAATTCCAATTGCAACAAATGCATAATTAACATTACAACCGATTGTTGTAAATGTAGAAATTTTTATGTTAAAATAATATTCAAACCATTTCAAATGCATCATACTATTTACCTAGTTGTTGAAGGTTTTGGAAAATAATATTGTTACTGCTATGCAACCTTTTGGTTTGCATTAATGCAAGTTTTTTGGACAATGTGTACCCATGAAACCGTACCATATGGCATATTACTGAAAGATTAAACCATGCTAATGTGGCATTAAAGTGTCACATTCTATGACTATTACATTCTATGACTATTACATTCTATGACTAAGGTACCTACCAAAGCTAACTGCATATACGATCGGCTTTTAGGCCTTCGAAGTATACGTTATAGATGGTACACCCATCTTTCCTGCGCACAGTGATCTCGTGTCTACCGTCCTCCTTCTTTGGCATCACATAATTCCATAAGCTGTCACCACATGTATCCAAGGTCATCAACAAAACGAACTCGTTTTGATAATACAAAAGCCCATAGCCGATGGATTCATAGCAATGAAGGTAGTAGCTATAATCAACAATATTGTAGATGGCATTCAACTCTTTGTACTTTATTCTCGAGTTTGTTAGCACTTGATAATTTGTCCCATCTGTTTCGGGAATGATTTCTTTAATTGCTTCATTCGTCGTTCGCAGTGCATTACGGACAGTGACGCTTGTGACTAGAACAATCATAACATTATTAATTAATGTTTCCAAACCGTAATAATTAATAATAGCTTATATTTTTGTTAAATAATTATTAATCTATTCTGTTGTGTATTTTCCCCTGAGTGTGATGTTTTTACGTTGTATCAGTTGTACCTTTTAGACGTATTGTCTTTAAGACGTATTTTTTTTAAATATTGTAATTAACCACGATGAGAAGGCTCCAAAGAACATGCTGTGAAGGAATTACATAACTGGTTGGAATCGTATTTATTAACTCATCATTGCTAAACATTTATGCTGACATAACTTAATCAGTGAGCCAAAGAAGGCGTCAATGTCAACTCAAATTGGCGTTTAACTCAAATTAGAATATCTGATGATGCAAACAATTAAAAGTACATATTTAGTTTTCATAACGTCGTACTTGTTTTCGTCATAATAAAGTTACAGTAAACTTTTAAACCAAGTATATAATTACAAGAATTATATAATCAACTAGCCACTATACCCGTGCCTTGCAACGGGGCCAATATGCAGGAGAGATAATTTTGGTTCATATCTGAGCCAAAATTGGAATATAATGGCAAGCAGCTTAAGAACGCTATAGAGAACAATTATTAGGTTCCCTAGATCTGCTGCATGTATATAGACTTTTATTAATTTTAGAATTTTATAGAATTTTATTAATTCATTTCAAAAAGGTCTTTTCTGAGCGACCCCCGACATTCCACGCCACCAATGGTGGTAAAGCGGCGTTCAATATGATTAGGGCTAAAGAAAGTTTTATCTACACTATCTTTGTAGTCAAACTAAGAGATTAGAAAAATACAAAACACAACATACCTGGGGACTTGCCAGAGCTAGGTTGACCCTAAAAATTACAATAAATGAAAATAAGCTAACAAAACTTAACTTACACTATAGTTTGAAAATTCTCCCTTGTATCTTTATCATTTTAGGGATTAGCTGAACACATTTTAAAGATAAGTTTTCGTTTGCTTATTAATGTCTCTTTCATGATTTTAGGTAATTTAAATACGTAAACCATTGGCCACTACCAACGTTAGAAGTACAAAATTTTGAAGAAAACGAATGTTTACACATTAAAAGTAAACAAAGCCATGGTAATATCACCAACGTCCGAGTAAACCATAAGTTGAATATTTCGCTTTAACATGTTTAACAGGTTTGAGACTCTCCGGTGATAGATAGAGTGAAATAACTTCTGAAGAACAACTATCTTTGCGTTAGAATTTAGAATAGATTTATTGGTCATTCAGTAATTACACTATAATTACAATAGACTTTGCAAAGTTTAAACAATAGATAAAAAACAATAGATAGTCATAAATAGACAAGAGACATAAATAATAATCTCTACCTAAAAATCACAGCCTCTTATCTCTAAATAAGAGGCTGTGATTTTATTATTAACATTTTATCATCATATCATTAACTTTGTTCTGAACTGTCAATAGAAGATCACTTCACGTATCTAAATATTAAAAAAGTACACTAGTTATTTTTTCAGGTATGGAAACCTAAATAAATTTTTATTTAGCCTTCATTCAGTCTATATTTGATTAAGGAATAACAGCCTATGGCTGAATATAATATTAGACAGCCATAAATAATTACTGATAACAAGGTAACTTTAGGCAGGTGTCAGTTCTAACCCTTTGGCAGTTTATTTACAATTGAATGAACTTTCTTGACTTTTATTAATTGTTCATCTAAAATTTTACTTTATATTTATAGTCAAAAATAATATCATAAGCTATTCACAAAATCCGATAATCTCTTTACTTTGTGATGATTAAGTTTTGAAATAAATTCAGCCATTAAAATATAATTTTTTTATCATGCTGGATGGTTACAATTAGAAATAAATCAATATTCTTATTTGATTTATTTATACATTTTCAGTTAATACTAAAATATGCACATTTAATTACCAATTATTGATTGAAATGGGGACCCCCACCTAGGTATCTTAAATAAAACATTAGTAAAGGAAGACTGTATGTAATTGAGACACCCGTGTAACTTTATATCTGACTAAGACCATCTGTTTCATTAGTCAGGGAATTTTTACAAAGGACCATTAACTATCAAAGACAGCAGGGTTAAGTTTTGAACCACCAAAGCTAACTCTTCTCAAGATAGATTTGGGGATCGTTTGAATCCTAGGTTACACTCTAACCACTCGGCAATCCAGCCATTAAAACAAACCTGATTTTATTTCAATCAACCGTTATTTTTACAAATTAGTATAGTTACATATATAAATACTATACATATTACATAATGAACATACCAGAGTCAAGCTGCAACTTTTAGTTTCAGGGGAACGGGTTTCATATCGCTTATATACAATGCACTTGTTCATCTGCACCTTGAGCTCGTTCCTTTTCTCCACCTTTATATATTGCTTAACATCCGAATCACATTTGACCAGTTCCATATTTAACACATGAGTGTTGTACCAGAACAACAATCCCTTTAAGGATGTTCCTTGGGAATAGCATTCAAGTTCAAGATTTGCATTGACTTTCAAAGGTGTTGTTGGTGGGCAATTCAATTTCTGTTTTGCTTCATTCTTGTTTAGAAAAGGAGGCAGGGGGATATTTGCGCTCAAGACTAGAAGCATAAAATATGATAAAACAAAAATACATTTTCTGTTTTATATAGGTATATTTTAGGCTAGGGATTTTTAAACATTTGTATGTAATGCACCATTTGACTATACCTAAAACTACTTTGTTTTATATATTAAGGCTTTATTCAAAACAAGTGAAACGAGAGAATACTATATACACTCTTTTCTATTTTAAAATAAGAGTATGAATCGCATAGATAATCTTATGAGTAAGATGCAATTCTTTCTCAGAAACCGTATCGATGATTGCATCCATACTTGGAGCATATGTTTTACTTCAAAAGTACCATACTTTGCTAAAACACGAATTTAAACTTTTAAAATTTGACATGGGCCGTAAGGTTGGTCATTAAGGTTTGCAAAATTATAAAAAAATTACAAGCTACATAATCGTAAAGTATATTTTTTGTTGTCAAGCCAAATGCCATTTATTACAAATGAATTATTTTATTGATATGAAAATCTAGTATTTAACTAATGTAAATGAAAATTAACAAAAAACATTTTCAATTATCAATTATTGAGATGGGGAGGCCACCTAGGTGAGTTTACGGATTTTAACCCAAACATGAGTGAAGGATGGTTGTAAAATGGTGTGAGAGATCTGTGTAGCTGTGTTACTTGCCATGATCAGCTGTTTCATTAACTAGGACCATTTTTTTAAAGCCCAGTGATCAGGAGCAGCTGGGTTTAGTTTCAAAATATCAAAAAGCCATTGACTTTTCTCAGGATTGAACCAGTGACATTTTGATTGTTAGGCAAGCACTATTACCATTTGGCTACCCAGCCAATCTATAATCTATGCTCTTAAAATTCTTGTTTCCGCTTGATTGAGACAATGTGTTGGTGAATGGAAATATGAGCCGAATTGAATGTCACAATCCAAGCGCATTATAATTAGAACCTTTGTGTAGTATCGGAGAAGAGAATATTTTTACCATCTGGATAAGGTACAGTATGTAGACTGTTTTTTTTTTTAGACTGCTGCTCGGTGGACTTTGAGAATATTTGGTTGGAGATTTATTAAATGGTATTTGTTGCTGACTAGCGTTAGTAAACGTCCTCGGCCCTTTTTGTTAGTCTAACAACATTCAAATGCTCTCTTTTTGAGTTCAAGTTCTGATTGGTAAATTCATATAATTTTTTCACTAAGCTGAATGATTACATTGAATTAACCTCTCTAAAAAGTCTGCAGTAAATTCCAATTTTCCAGCTTGACGACTTTTCAAATCATTAACACATTTCAACATACCAATTAATACAAATACAATCTAGTTTCCGTAAACCACTATTAATTTGCCAAAATATCGACTCAGCTCATACCGTCAATGTGTCCAGATACACCAGTATAATTTTGTCGAAGATTTTCCAATGTTTGAAAACATGGCAATTATCTCATGAAAATATAATGATCCGTCTTGAATAATATGATAAAATATAGGTAAAAGTGGAAAAAATGATAATTCAGTACACTAAAGCATTATTGTATGTATAATGGTTTTAGAGACGATTTATAATGATTTTAATCAATGATTACTATGTTTTTCTTATCGGGGATAAATATGTTGTGGCTTTTGTTTGTTGGTAGATTTATTTTTGGTAAGATTTGGCTTTTATTGTTTTATACTAAGCTATGAACATGTAAATAAAATAATCTACTTAAAAAATTTATTGGATGTACATTCTACATCATGGAACTCCTAAACGAGAAGTTTTGGGCGAAAATGCATGAATACATGAATGGGAGTAAATAAGTCTCAAAGTTGCATCTAAATTCTTTAAATACCATGAAATAAAAAACAAATATTAATTTAATTGTTTCAAAAATGGCAGTAAATAGTAAATTTGAAAATAGAAAAACTGTATATTGTATGACTTTTAAGAATGAAGATGCAATTTTAATTCCTATTTACTCTTGGCATTTTCACCATAAACTTCCTCTTTTAGCAGCTACATGATGCAGAATGTACACTGCAAGTAATTATTATTTAAAAAAACACATAAAATAGGCTACAGGGTCTTCCATAAGAAAAATTTTAGTTGGTGGCCGTATTGAAAAATGATAAGAAATTTAAAAAAAATTGAAATACATACCTAAAAGCAACATACGTTAGGCTGAACACCAAGTATAGATAATTGAACTCGTTCTTATAATGCTAGAAATCGTCTCAAATGGAGCAAGTGAGCTGGTCTAATCAAATCTAATCAAAATATCTTTATTCATCTGTACATAGGCCACATACAAGAATTGTGTTTTAAAATATGAAATATTCTATAAAAAAGATATTCTTTACCGACTAATTTTGATGAAAAACCAACTCGAAATTGTACAAGAAGAAATTCCCCAAGAAGCACTGCTTAATGAGAATGAGTAATTTATTTTCCTCAGTCTTTTTTCAAAATCTAAGTATTTTAAGGGAAGAAAACCATGCAAAAAACAACGTGTAAAACATTCATTGAGACAGCTCAAGAATGTGCCTGTAATGAATACAACATAATGCCAATAGATTTTAATTATATATAATCTTTTTTATGTGTAAGGAAACAAGCATACTCATGATCATTTCTAGCAAAGCTCGGCTCTATGATAGTAATAAAATATAAAACTGAAACCTACCTGGAGACGTGCCTTCGACGAGAGACACTTTTGTTAAAACCTACAAATAAGTAACCAAATTAAAACACACTTTTGAGAATTAACTTGTGCTAAATATCAAATCCTCCGTTTTCACTGAATATGTTAAAGTGACATGGTTTTATTGTTGAGTAAAACATAGAACTTTCTAAACGTATGGGATTTGATTTTAAACCTTGGTAAGCTGAAAGGAATGCCCGATCTTTGTCTCAAAATTGTTCTAATCTGCTTGATAAAACTTTTTATTTATCATTTCACTAAACATGCAAGATAATTCTTTACTATTTTATTATTTTTAACGGCATAATTGGTTAACCCTTGACTTCTTCTGGAACACCATTGGAACCGAAAAAAAGTGTTTTTAGCATTAGAAGTAGTTTATTTTTATTTCAGAATTTGACCTTATTCACTGAAAAGATCATTGATATTATGATATTTCCTTTACTTTAAATAGCTTTCATATTATGTGCTTTAGTTACTTTATCAAAACTGTTTCTACTGTCATAGAAAGTAAAAGATACACTATTTAACAACGTTAGATAGAGACTTTTAGCCACAACTTATTGCTATTACAAATTTACTTACCACAAAAAGAAAGATTACAGAAACACATATTGATATGTTACATTGGACCATGTTTGGAGCTAGACTGATAGGTTGGTTGGGAGATAATTATTAACAGTTGTTCAACAGCTGTTTGGAGGTGAACCTTGCATATTTTACGAAGTTTCACTGTCGCTTATTCTTACCAATGTAAAAAATAACGAATATTTTCTTTCAGTGGATTTAAAACTCATCAGTGATAATGAAAAATTAACACATTTTTGGTTGACATAGAATCTAATAAACATAACAATATTTAAACAAACTAGGAAATTCAAAACATTGAACTTGCTATCACTTTTTAGTAATTATAATTTCAAATTTACCATACAAACTTACAACAGAAAAATTACAATATGAATACCAAAAAGTGGATCAAACAATTAATTAATTAGTACAATCAATTAATTAAAAGCAATTATTTAATAAAAAAAATATATATTCACTAGGTTAGTAGATTTGATGCAACCAAAAGGTGAGTACGCGTAGCGAACGAACTTCAACCTGGAGGCGAGTTAGCGTAGCGAACGAGCTAACCTGAAGCTAAGTGAGCGCAGCGAACGAGCTCCAACCTAAAGGTGAGTAAAGTAGCGAAGGAACTTCAACCAGGACGTGATTGAGCCATGTGAACGAGCTAATCTTAAAAATGAACGAGCATTTGACAAAGGACAGGACGACGTCTGTCGGGCCAGCTAGTAGTTTTATATTTCCTCATACTGCAGCAGCCGTTAATACTACATGCGTTTAAAAATAGATTAAGTTAAAGGTTAAATATTAATCAGCTGTTCTCTGTCACAACAATAAAACTATTGTGACTACAGATAGACAAATCTATTTGTTTATGCTACGGATAAAGGTATGCACACATTCCATTTTACAAATTAAAACCCGTTTAAAAACTATGTCACGACGTTGATATACTCATAGTGTTCGTACACTACGTCGTCGTTAGGGGTGTTCATAGTGTGGATTTTCTATGATTCAACATCAGATTTTTCTCTTGTTGTTTTTTTTTGTTTTTCTCGTAGTTTTCTCTTGTTTGGTACACAATCTATCAGAGCACAAATATTACGAATAAAACAAATCCATCAATTTACTAAGCATATTACTATTCAAAAGTCGTATTATCAAATTATAGTCAAATGAAATATTCGACGCTATTCACTCAGATGTAAAGGTATTTCATTCAGAAGCAATTCCTGAATTACCATCAATTTGTCTCATGAATGTTACATGAAGGAAATTACAATTTGAGTTTTGAACTGAAGTTTGAGATCAATTTTGTATAATTTATTGCTACACGCCTCGTTTTTGTTTGTAAAATTATTAAAATCAATTCAAATTACCATAAATTAATAATTTCGTTGGTTTAGGTAATTTCATGTAAAATTCTTTAGGCTACCTTTCGTTTTAATCATAACAAGGGAAATGCTGTGTGATTTTGCATTTATGGTTTTAACATTGCATTTCACGAAAGATTTTTTTTTTAGATCAAAAGGATGTTATACATATTAACGAAAAAATTCAAAAATAAATGTAAAAAAATAAAACAATTTTTGTAAAAAATTTAATAATACTGAAAACAAACTATGTATGTTTTGTCTGTAAAACCTTCATTTTCTGCGTCAACTGGGTCCATTTTTGGCAAATTTTCATGTTTTGGTTACAAATGGATTACCTTACTGAATTATAATTTTTTTTTAACTTAATTTAATGAATGGTACATTTTAAAGCTCTGTACTAAGTGTGGGAAAGAATTATTTACTCCTGCAGTTCTTACACCGCAGAATACAACACTCACCAGCAAACTGGTAAACAGCCTGACTGCAGGATAATGTCCTTTTATCATTCTCCTGTATTTAATTATAACCAAACAAATACAAGCCAAGAAACCAATTATATTATATTAAGATTAATATTAGATACAGAAATAATTGAATGGTCCGTTCTGTAATTATAGTAAATGTACTACTACAAAGAATGACTTATTTTAAATGATTTATTTTTTATACCACAGTTTATCCTGTTGTTATTTTGTTTTTGTTTAAAAGTTTATCATATTATTATTATTTTTTTTTTTTGAAAGTATTTATCTGTCTTTCACCAACATTGCTTTGCCTGTAAATGTTAAATGGATCGGTTACGAGTTGTAGCATGATGCATGATTATTTATTGTCTTGCTATCATTATTTTTCTATGTTGTAATACTGGTTTTGTTTTTGAAAGTCTATTGCATCATTACCTTGTTCTGTTATTTAAAGTGAATCATTATCTTGAGGTTATCTTGATGTGTCTTGTTCTTGAAATCTTGTTGTTTCCAGTTTTTTCACTGCTTACGTATTGACCTGTCATTTGTCAAAAATACACTGTATTTTCTTGTAAAAGTGGTGTATCCGTTAATAAATATATAAAATAAATAGATTACATTATTCCTTACCTTCTAAAGTAGAAGAAATTAGTCAAGATTGAATTTTTTGTCCTAGTTGTGTCATAGGGCGTGTGTTAAAATAATTGAAAATATATTTATTTTTTTATTTCCTGGTTGAAATCCTGAACTATTAATATTTAAAAAATACGCTCAAAAACGTAAATTTGAGTTGCCAATACATTTGCACTAAGGACTTTTTAATTTTTTACGATTATAATTATTGCAGAATAAATTTGAATCTATGGTAGAATACTTTCTAGAAGTCTATTGGAAGTCTATTGGTGGAATACCAAAAGTTCATACAAATATTCAGGAAAAACATTTGACCTAAAATAGAAAATTAATTAAATTACTTATTGCTTGGCTAAAAATGTCGATTTAAAATAGCCTCAATAAGAATATGATGTAATAAATGTCAAAAATCATAACGCAAATTTTTCTAAAAGCCATGAAAAAACCAAAGTCCACGTTCAAAAGTACTTTTCAAATACTGTTCGTTATCTGTTAATTTTAATTAAACTATAGACGTAAATTTGTAATTCATTTGCTTATGTTCACCTAACCAAAAATATCGTAAGCTTAATTCTTAGAAGAAGAAGCTTCACAAGCTAGAAGTCTTTTTAAAGGCTTTGACCTATTAGAGTTCGTATCTTAGCTTCACCTTTAGAATAAACATTTTCAGTGACTTAAGTTAATTAACTATATATTTCCAGAGTCAACAAAGTATTAAGAGAGCCATATTCGATAAACACTAAACTTCAATATAATTTTGCCCCAAATAATATTATGGCGTTCTATAAGAGATTTGGCTATTGCCTAAAGAGGTGGTCTAGGAATTGTTATCCATGAGACCACAAAGTTCTCTGTTGCTGACATTAGGTTTAAGGATATCGTGTCGCTATTAAAGGAAACGAAGTTTTCATGTCTTTTCGGGATCTTGTAATTGATCCCGTACTCAAGTGATGGATCGCCCATAAATGACTTGACAAAAAATAGCATAATATATCTCGACTACTTAAAATTTAAAATCCTGAAATGACTTGAAAACTTTGTTTTTACTAACCATTTTGGAAAATTACCGTAATATCTTTAAAACAACACCGACACAGAAACTACTAACTTTTACTATCAGCAAAAAAATCACTTTAATATTTTGATAATGTTCAACCAGATTATTTTAAAGCATTACTCTATTTTTATCAAAAAATCAGAACATACTTGATAACATGGAAATCAAAAAATTTTTGATTTTTCCAAACATATGAATGTTAAAATGTCTCCTTGGTTTAATTTGGACAACCGTAGCTGCCAACTAGTTGTAGCAAAGATGACTCGGATAAGAATTATCAATAGTGGAACTGAATTTAACTCAATATCTTCTAGAAATGTAATGCTTTTAGTGTAAATCTGATCAAGCAAATTAACATTATCTTAGCCAGCAGGTTTGCTGCGTCGAGGGTATTTATATATTGTTTAGACATAAATTATTATATTCCACCTCAGGTTAGATTTGAGCTAGTTACTTCATACTTTAAATTAAATCATGCATCTTGCGAAGTCTCTTTTATTCATTAAATTTTATGCTAAACAAGATCAAAGAGGCATATATATATATTCAATAGTTGATAATAGACTGTTAGAATCTATTGAATCTCATACTGTAATGGATATAGTTATTAGCAATAAGGCAACGGAAATTAATTCATTTAATAACGGCAAGGGTCTTTAATGGACCAATATACTGGCTTGTATAATACTCAACCTGTAAAGGTTTAATGAAATTGCCAATTTATGCGTAAGGTGCAGGAATGAATTTTAAACACTCTTTTTTAAGGCAGCGAATAATTCACGTGTGGTTTTAAGAGAAAAGAAATAATCTCCTTCCATGTTAGACTTGTGATTTTATTGTTTTAAACAACCAATTGTTAGCACTTAATATATATGTTGAGGTTTTTGGTGAATGCAGGGATTTGAACCACTTACTTTGGAGGAGATGACCAACTCTACAATATATGAAATCCAAATTCGTGAAATATACATTATGGATTAAAATTGTGAAATTGGTATTGTGAAATGAAATTGTGAAATTGAAATTTTGAAAACGAAATTGTGAAATGAAATTGTTAACAGAAATTAAGAAATGAAATTGTGAAATAGAAGTTGTGAAACGGAATTGTGAAATGAGATTGTAAAATTGATATTGTGAGATGAAATTGTGAAACGAAATTGTGGAATCAAAATCGATATTGTGAAATAGGAGTTGTGAAACGGAATTGTGAAATTGAAATTGTTGAATGAAATTGTGAAATTGGAATTGTGGAATCGAACTTGAAATTGTGAAATGAAATTGTGGAATCAAAATTGAAATTGTGAATTGAAATTGGTAAGTTGAAATTGTGAATATTTTAAATTAAAATTTGTGAAATTGGAGTTGTGGAATCAAATGGAAATTGTGAAATGGAATTGGGAAATAAAATTATGAAATTGAAATTTTGGAATCGGAATTGAAATTGAGAAATGAAATTGTAAAATAAAATTGTGAAATAACATTGTGAAATGGAAATTGTGAAATGTAATTGTGAAATTGAAATAGTGAAATGGAAATTGTGAAAT